TGTAAATTTCCAGTTCATTTAAGAGGTAATACCTGTATCTAAGATAACAGTCAGAAATTTTCTCAACTAATATGAACTAGTATCAAAAAACGAAATACAAAATATTGTTTCGTTTGGAAGTTATTAATTTCTGCCGCAAAAAGTGTTTAAATTCTCCATAGTGGATTGGAGAAAAGCTGCTGCTGCATACTTTTGTAGTGTGACAGTGGGAGCGCATCAGCCTTCCATCAGCCCAGGCCTCAAAACTTAATTATAGAACAAGCAACAGAGCCAGGCGTACATACGTACAAGGAGTATTACAAATCAAATATCATAGCTAGATGAACGTCACACACACACACCCACAGCGCACCCACACGTACACCGTACCCACACATGCAGCCAATTAGCTTGCAAGACTGCAACGAAAGAGAGGAAATGAGAGACAGGAGAGAGTCGCCAAAGCGCAAGAGCGAGCATTCAGCATCCCAGCATTAGCAGCAGCAACAGCAGGAGCAACATTGCATGGCCTTGAAGTCAGCTCGCTGGCCATCTTCCTCTAACGCACGCAGCAAGTTGAGTGTGGCCATAACCGTTAACCAAGGACGCGCAAGCAAGCAGCCAAGGGAGAAGCGCACAACTAATTCAAATTCAAGGCTCAATCCACGGACTCGCATTCCCCACCCCCATCCCACTGGACCGTGATGCTCTTTTTTGGCGTAGCATACATTTGCGCGCGCCTATGGCATTGCTTAGCCATAGCAATAGCAAATAGCAATAAATGCTCTTTAGAGATATTGAAAAGCGAGGGGGCGTTGGGGATGAGATTGAAGTGCTCTTTACTCTTTAGCGGTGAGCCCCTTTCACAGTGGGAGGGGGTTAGCAATGCCAATCTGTTAGTATTTACGAAGAGAAATCACTAGACCAAGCAACAATTTTATCAATCAATTGGGTGTGGGCACACTGAATGCATGCCACACTGAGACACGAACACGCATACCTATGTACATACATTCTCATTCAAACGGAGACGCACTCACACATATTGTATGAGTGTTTGCATGAGTGACAGACAGGTGCCGGTATAGCGGGAGAGAGAGAGAGAGTCATCCATGGTTCTTCTTCAGTTCTCCAGAAAACTCATTTAGATATTGCACTGACTTTTAGACAAGCGGAGATCGACTGATGCATCTTGCTCTTTCTCTTGCTCCCTATTCGTCTCACACACACAGGGTAGTCGGACAAAAGGGTCGGAAAATATCATAATTATGTTTCCAGACAAAAATCGAAGCGCGAAATGAGCGCGTTCATATGCACATATGTATGTATGCATGTGTTTATGTGTGTGAGGGTAATGAAATTACAAATGACAGGTGGACCGTGCTCTCCCCCTTCTGAAAGTGCACACACAGAATTATAGAGAGGCTGCACCGTCCGGTAATATAATTTACCGCTATTGTCTGCGTCTCTGTTTTTGTGTGAGTGTGTGTCTGCTGCTGCCTGTCATTATGGGCCACAGAGCCATCTGCAATTCGATGCCAATTCTGGTGGAAAGCGGTAAAACTCGCAAATATCTAATGTCCTTTGTCTGTATATCATTTACTACACGCCCCCTACCAATGCCCCGCCAATATGTCTGGTCGGATATTACTATCATGGACTCCCTTTTAACCCTTTTCCGTTACCTGATGAACAGCATCCACAGCGATCCCTGTTGGCTAATTAGAGGTAGAGTTTAAATTTCCTTTTACCGCAAAAAAGGGTCCTTTAAGCTTGATATCTAATCAAGTAGAAACACACACAAAATTAAAAAATTGGAAAAACAAGTCGTAGCACTAATGGAAACGTTATACTGAATGTTAAGTAAGACGGAATGATATCTTGATCAGCTTCTGTTTACAATATCACAAATCAGAGCTCCTCCACATTTCGAAATCAAATGTCGCTAGTGTTGAATTATCTATCAAATCTCTGCTCTTTATAATGACTAATTGCATTCCCCAAACCCATACCTCCCACCTTCTAGCAGCAATTATCCAAATATCAATCTTGTGGCAAAAAATTTGTGTGGACTGGGGACTGGAAAGTTCCAAACAAGAAAACACAAAACGGAAATCACAGACGACCATAATTGCTGCGCTGCGCCGACTTCTATGAATAAATTAGCCAGACAACAGATCGGATTAGGCGAAATATTCAAAAGAATTGTACAAGTCGCTGGAGAGAGCTGGAGGCGATATGGTATACCTTTTTACGAAATGCCCGCGCTGACGTCACTGAAGCGAAACTGGATTTTGTACGCCTCTTCTCCAAATATTATATCATTTATGAATATTTCATGTTTCAATCTACACTAAAAAAAAAACAACAAAAATAAACCAACCCAAAACCAAAAATTTGCACAGTGCGTGGGCAGCGACGCTGACTGCGACAGTGACGCTGACTGCAGTGTGCCCAAATGTCTTTTATATCTTTCCCACAGCGGCTGGTGCTGCTGCTACGTCAGGAGCTCTTGTGTCTTTGTGTGTGTGTCCGTGCAAAAGCCGCACCGCATCGTACTATGGGAATTTGGCGTGCGTTTTTGGTCGAACGACGGCCAAAACGGGGTACACAATGCAGTGTTCCCAATAATTATACACGTATATACATTGCACAATCCCCCCACCTCCTGCACCAACAACACCCGAGAACATTCTCACACTCTCCCACATACACTTTTCGGCAGAAAATTGCACTTACCTGAATTGAAATTTGCAATTTATTGCAATTGCGCGCGCGATCTTTTTGGCTAACAATGATTACAGCAGAACGTTTAGAATTGGCTTCCCTTCCAGCCGTGTTGTATTATTTTATCACATATATCAAACAGCCACCGAAAAACCTACTTTGTAAAATGCTATTGAACAAAATGTACAAACTTTGACAGAAAAAACAAAAAATGTTTGGTTGCCCTAATGCATATTCGTGTATGTGTGTGTGTGCGTGTGTTTGTGTGCCGAGATGGTTCTGTACATGAGTGAGGCTCCTTTTTCCAGCAATTTTGCACGCAATAAGAATTTAGCACGCCGCATTTTGACACTTCAGAACGAACAAGAAAAAAATACATACAGATGTAAATTCAACACAAAAAAAAAATAGCACCGACCGATTAACAGAACAACTGATTTACTTCCTGGATTGTGATTTGCCGCAAAAAAAATGCTATATATGTTTGTATGAGGTGTTGTGTTTACCGCTTAGCGCACTCGTCGTGTTCGCCTTGTTTTTTTTTTTTAACACACTGCCCTAACTGAGCTCTTTGAGTGTTCGAATATTATTATTGTTGAATTGATGTGCTCCGAGCTTGTGAAGCCGCACGCATAACGCAATGATATAGGGTGGTCTCGTCGGCAAAGTTTGTTCCCTAAAAATGCTGTCAATATGTGCGAATGAGAGGGCGTTTTTACGTTTGTGAGTGAAGACGCACGCAAAACGGAACATTTCACTATATTGGTATTGGTACGATTCACTGCAATACGCGTGTACGTGAGCGGCAGCGCCTTGTCCTATACCCTTTAGGTAGGTCCGTGCCGAGCCCTGCTTTAAAGGCATTGGGTTTAAAATTGCCCATTGCAAGAAAAGGAGTTGAAGTTGTTATATATATTTCGAACACTAGGGGTGCGAAAACGAAGCGATTAGGCAGCCGACGAGACCACCTTATATAATTTCTTCATGGTCGCACGAGCTCCGAAAATTCCGATAAAGTTGTCGGGCTGGCCTGCTATTGGTCAGAACTGGGCTGCGTCTGGCAGACGACATCTGGCAGGCCGCGTCTGGCAACAGTGATGCCAGTGTTTTAGTGGTCGGTTCTGGTAAATATTAATTTGGTTTGTGCCAGGAGGACATGAAAAGATATGATCATTGACAGGACACCAATTGGCAGCTTAAATCATAGTTTTACTATTGAAAATTAGTAAATGTATACAAGGTATCGGCAATCGATTTCGGTTTTCAGAGAGGTGCGCATCACTGGTTTGCCGGCACAAGTGCAGGGTTGCATGCCGGCAGGCTGTAATGTCCGTTATGCCAACATTTTATTTGAATCGTAGAAATAAATAGTTTAGTAAATTATTTAACGTTACTGTGAGGACTAAGAAGTATGTCAGAAGCATGTTCGTTTTAATTTTTATTAAATATTGATAAGTTAGCAGATATCGATTTTTGAGCACAATTATTTTTGAAGCGGAATTAAAGGAGTTTTTAAGAAATGTCGCGATGTTATCGAATGCGAAAATAACTATTGCCGCTTGCCAATCTTACCTGTCCGAAGTAGGGTCACATTATTTGGCGCAAAACTTGAATGTGACAATATTCGAAAATACGGTCATACTGCGTCTGTGGGTAATTTAAAAATAAATGGAATCAATAAATGGTGGGAAAGACGAACCAATTTCATGATAATTCATTAAAAATAGCAACGCGGGATTTTCTATTGCAGCAATGTGTTTTTATTCCACACCCTCTTACGTTGAATTCCATCCCAACTTATATTACATTTATACATGGGAAACATATGAAATTGTTTAAATCAGGTCAGGCTGAGAAAAAATCGTTGTTAATGGTTTAAAGCAGCTGGTAGAATGAAATTGTAATATTTACTATTGAAAATAGGTTACACAAGTGACCTTACGATAGTATACCGTGGGTTGGCCAGCAAAAACCTGAGAAGTGACGTAACATTCCCCTTCCACCCACGTATCTTTCAGTGCTTTTTTTTGATGACCCTCTTAGTTTTAACTTTAATTTTCAATAAAGATAAGTCATGAAATTCAGCCAATCTTTTGGAAAATGTAATGATGATTCGAGTAAAACTACAGTTTTAGCATTGAGATGCCCAACTAGCTAGTAATATTAAACAGAAGATCCAAGTCGAGGAAAATGATTTAACATTAAGGGTATATTGACAGTATATTTAAAAAATGAAAGGGTATATTTCCGAGGGCCTGTCGGTATATTTTATCGATAAATCGGCGGTCACACTGGTTCGTTCGGTTGCCCGTTCGCTTGCTTTCTATTTGGTTTCTCGTCTTTGTTTTTGTTGTTGACACTTCCACTGTGTATTTTTTTATTGTGAATGGTCTGTGTGTGTGTACGTGCCTATTACTTGAAAAATTGTGTAAAACCAAAACCTTTAAGACGAACTAAAGTGATTGAAAACAACAAGAACGACAGCGATAGAAAACGACGCTGCAACAACACCACCCATGCGATTTATATAGAGGAAGAGCTACGGTGTAAACGAGTTTCGGATCTTCGGCGCGCGCTCTTTATCCTATCCAACACAGACATCGAAACTAAACCCCGTATATCATCCCATCTAGCGCCAAGGTGAAACTGTTTGCCTCAGCTCTGGCATTGAATTATATCCTAGAGAATATACCGATATATGGTGTATATCCATCCCCCATCCCCAGCTGTATTGTTACATTTTTAAATTGAACAAAAAGTACATTCGATTCGAGGAACAAGAAGAAGCAGAAAAGCAATTTGGCGGCGATGGGCAGGCAGTACAAATTAAAAGCTACATAGATGGAACACACGCACACACGCGGACAAGGCAAACAAACCGACAAACACACACGCCCAGAGCAAAAGGAAAGGCGAATAGTATAGCCGAAACACACAGCAGGCGTCTCGCTTTAACGTTCGGCAGCAGCAACAGCACAGCACACATTGTATTGGCTGTCAGAGCCAATGTTAGAAAGGGACAACAGTCGCTTCGATAAGCGAGGAGTTGCCAGTTTTATTTTACGGTTGTCTAGTGGCAAATGTCATCAGAAATTACAACACTGCGGATGGAAGACGTCTACTAGCAAAGCAGCAACAACTCCAACAACATCTGGACACAACAACAACAACGAAGCAGCACCAGCAGGAGGAGGAAGAAGAAGCACGCATTGGCCGCAAAAATATAAACAAAAATGTGGCCCACCGTGCAAGCGTCGACGACGACAGTGCGAACAACTAGAGCAACGTCCATATGCACGTCCCCATCTGTGTCCGCATCTGCATCTGGAACGACATCATTGCAAAGCAACAGCAACAGAAGCAGCAGCATCAATGGCGCCATCGCCACAGCCAACAGATGCTTCATCAAATCCGCCATAGAACGCTCAGTGGTGCGGCCCATAGCTGCCATACAGCATACAGCCCAGGCCACAGTGGCCACTGCAGCCACTGAGGATGTGCCAGTTGTGAATACAACCGAGCTGGAGTACGACATCATCAACTACTACACGGATTCACCCTCATCCACCACTCCCTGCCTCGCTGCCAGTTCCCGGCAGCTGCAGCAGCAGCCTGCAATATGCCCCCCGCTGACACAGGGCTCTGGGTCTGCGTCTTCCCGTCGCTGTTCTCGCCTCATCGGCAACCATCAGCCAACTATGGATACGAATGCTGTTGAGGCGGGATTAGCCACCAACGCCGCTGACACCGCATGTGGAAGTCTGACGACGGAACAGGAGATCATACAGGAGGTGGAGGAGGAGTTGGATTTATTTTCTGAGGATTTAGAAACATCGAAGCCGCCACCCTTGTTTACCACCAAAACATTGCGTTGTCGCAGCACCGCTGCCGCCCGTTCCCGCGGTGGCGGTGGGACACTGAGTCGCCAACGGAAGCCGAAAGCCATTGTGCCGCCCCGCACTGAAGTCCTCAACAGCAGCAGCATCGCCAGCACAGGCGACAGCCGGAGCCCCAACAGCACACCTAGCATGGAGCCGTCGCCCACACCCAGCTCCACCCTGGGCGTCAATATGCGGGTGACAGGGCAATGCAGCCAGGGAGGACGTAAATACATGGAGGATCAGTTCTCTGTCGCCTACCAGGAATCGCCGCTGACTCACGAGCTGGAGTACGCGTTCTTTGGCATCTATGATGGACATGGCGGGCCCGAGGCGGCCTTCTTCGCCAAGGAGCACCTGATGCTGGAGATTGTGAGGCAGAAGCAGTTCTGGTCAGACAATGATGAGGATGTGCTGAAAGCCATACGAGAGGGCTACATAGCCACGCACTTTGCAATGTGGCGGGAGCAAGGTAAGAGCAGAAGCAGCGGCAACACACACAAATAATTACACAGAAAAGACAGGCAAAGGCCGTGGAAAGAGAGACAGCGAGAGAGAGCTGAAAAACAACGATAATTATAAACCAAAGCAGAGCGCCAATAGAGATGGGCAGCATTGAGTCACGGCATATTCATTGTGTCGTGTCAGGTCACGCACATCAGTAATCGATGAGGATACATCCCTGCACGGCCCCGACCCGCCAATTGGGGATATGAAATCCGCAAAATATATTCATTAAATTCACATTGACTCACCTCTAGTAATTATACAACTGTGCTGTGCAACGATGACTCAATCGCATTTACGCTCATCTCTATTGTCTGTCCACACACACACAGAAAACCCCATCCACTTAAAATGTGTGTACGTGTGTGTGTCTGCTTGTGTTTTTTTCTGGCGCGCTCTCTGACATATGTACACACAGCAACATAGCGGGAATGGAATATTCCACAGGCCTTGCCATATGGCTGTACTCTCAGCAAGCATGGCAACCCCGCTGCGATACGAGTATTGGTATGCGTTGGCCGCCAATGGGTTAGAGCAGCACCACTCTATAGCACCACAAAACACCACACATGAAGGCGTTTAAAAAAAAATGCAACGGCCATTAAAGAAAAGAAACACAAAAAACTAACAACAACAACACAGAAAGAAGACAAAAGAGAAAACCAAGAGCGAAAAAGAAATGTCCCCATTTCCAACGAATGCCCTCTGACCGGAATAACAAAACAAATACTCTCATACCATCCATACACACCCTCATCCAATTATTTTCTTTTTTTTGCTGATTTCCTGCAGAGAAATGGCCGCGCACCTCCAACGGACACCTGAGTACGGCGGGTACAACGGCAACGGTGGCCTTTATGCGCCGTGAGAAGATCTACATCGGTCATGTGGGCGATTCGGGCATTGTGCTGGGCTACCAGCAGCCCAACGAACGCCAGTGGCGGGCCAAACAGCTGACGACCGACCACAAGCCGGAGTCACACGAGGAGAAGGCACGCATCCAGCGCTCCGGTGGCATGGTAGCCATCAAAAGCGGTGTGCCGCGTGTGGTCTGGAATCGACCACGGGATCCCCAGCATCGTGGTCCCATCCGTCGGCGTACGGTTGTCGATGATATACCCTTTCTGGCAGTAGCCCGCTCCCTCGGCGATCTCTGGAGCTACAATTCACGCTGCAAGGAGTTCGTCGTGAGTCCCGATCCGGATGTTAAGGTTGTTAAAATTGACCCAAACATGTTCAGGTGAGTTGCACAGCCGCAAATTCGAAGCGGGGATTTTCGAATTTTAATGTTTATCCTCCTCCCGCGTAGATGTCTAATCTTTGGCACCGATGGCCTCTGGAATGTGGTGACGGCCCAGGAGGCAGTCGATGCTGTGCGCAAACAACATCTCATTGGCGAGATCCTCAACGAGCAGGACGTGATGAACCCGAGCAAGGCCCTGGTCGATCGGGCACTGAAAACGTGGGCATCCAAGAAAATGCGTGCGGACAACACGTCTGTGGTAACTGTGATACTAACACCATCGTCGACGACATCTGGCTCCTCCCAGGAGCCCTCGCCCGTTCTATCGCCCAGCCCCTGCCCAGTGCCGTCGCTGGCGTCACGCCGAGAAAGGAATTCCCGCCGTGAATTGGATTCACGCCGTGAATTGGACTCCAGCGACATGGAAGCGGAAGTTGATGTCGATGTGGATGCCCTGCTGGATGCCGAAGACGAGGACAGTGCAATGGATAGCGAAAATAGTTGTCCAGACTCTCATAGCATCGAGGAGGAGGACTACATTCTGGATGCCCCATACAGTGCCTTGGCCAAGCGACATTTGCCGCCCGAGCCGTTTCGCAATTTTGATTACTATGCTGTCGAGGAGGAGCAGGAGGAGGAGGAGCAGGAGGAGGATGATGACGACGAGTATATCGATGGGGAAACCATCGATGCTGCCGAAGAGGAGCACGCAGGCGATGTGGAGGCATCCGCGTCTGCGTCTGTGCTGCAACAGCGAGTGCCGCGTTCCTCCTACGATGCCCAACGTCTCAAGCGGAGTCTGCACAATCATCGCAAGATGTGGCGTAAGTCCAACACCGCGGGGGTCTATCCCTGGCGTGGATTGGTCCAACAACAACAACAGCAGCTGCAGCTGCAGCACGAGGCGGAGTCGGGCGAGGAAGTGATCCTGCTGGAGGAGGAGGAGGAGGAGCTTCACTTGCATCACTACGTCGATGGAAGCCACATTTATGGGCAGTCTGTTCCACCCGCAGGCGGTGCAGGCCGAGAGCTGACAGAACTGGAGCATCATCTGGAGCACCACTTGGAGAGCAGCTTCGGCAGCTATGGCTCCAGTGTGTGCTCTTTGGGCTCCGATTATAGTTTCGCCGAGTCCTACAATACGCTCCTCAATGAGCAGGAGGTGGAGGCTCGCATCCGTTCGGCGGCAGCAGCTGCCGAGGCGGAGGCGGCCGCTGCTGCTGCCATGGATGATCGCAGCATGCAGGAAATCATACAGGAACAGCAGCACTATCAGCAGCAGGAAGGCTACTCCCTTACACAGCTGGAGACGCGTCGGGAGCAGCTGCATCAGCTGCATTCACACCAGCCGCAGGATCAGGAGCAGGAACACGAACAGGAGACTTGGACGCCGTCCGATTACGTCGAGCAACAGTCGCATCAGGAAGAGGAGTCTGCGAAGGAGCCAGAGCCTACGGAGCTCTTGGAATTGAATGCTTTGCTGCAGCAGGAGCGGGCTGAGGAGGAGCAGGTGGCCTTGGAGCGGGAGCAACAGCTGCAGCGAGAGAAGGAACAGGAACAGAAGCACGAGCATATGGAGGCCACCTCCAGCAGCTCCTCCAGTTCCAGTTCGAGTTCCATCGAAACGGATTTCATATTTTCCAGCAATTGGGCGGCATTAAAGGAGCCAACAACGGACACAGTCCCCCAAGAGCTGGAGGAGGAGGACGAGGAGGAGGCGTCGGCATTATCGTTACCAGCGTCACCGCCCACTCTGCAGGACAATCAAGTGAGCTCCACCCTACCCGCGACACCAAGATCCGCGGCCTCGGAGGCAGGCCTTACCCCAGCGATGCTGCAGCTTCGCGAAACCGTGGCAGAGATCCGCAAGGAGGATTCCCATGCCGTCCATTACATCATCGAACAGATCCAGAAACTCCAGAACGTCGAATGCATACCAGTGGCAGCCGCGCCGGGCATTGGCGAAGCACTCGATCGCGCCAGCGCTTTGGCCAGCGACTTGGCCGCAGCCCCATCAGCCTCCGCGCCTGTGGCGGCTCAGCGCATCCGTCAGATGCGTCGCTATCGGAATGTGCCAAATGAGAATCATCAGCACATGCAGACGCGCCTGCGACAGGTGTTTAAGCACTGCAAGAACAAGTCCCTCAGTGCGGCGGCCATAAAAGACTCTGTGGGTGGCGTCGGAGCAAGTGCCAGTGCAGTCGGTGCAGGAGGATTAGCAGCAGCAGTTGCCGCAGGCGCAGGAGGAGCCGGTAATAGCTCCGCTACAGTTGTGATTGCTGCACGCAGGAGCCTCAATGCTGCGCCCAGCAGCATCAAGAGCGGCAACAGCAACGGTCGCAGCAGCAACGACGGCAGCGGCAGCAGCAGCTCCATTATGATGACTCGCCGCAGCCAGACACTGGCCATCAACAGTGGAGGGGGCGGGGGATCAGTGAGTAAGCGCCAGCTACGTAGCTGCAGTATCAGCGGCATTGACATGACCAAGCGGACGCTCAGGACAAGGAATGTACCAACAGTGGGTGTGGGCGCCACAGCCGTTAATGTGCCGCCAGTTGCTGCATCTCCCACTGCAAGGGCCAATAGTGCTGCAGGAGGAGGAGGAGGAGCAGCCAGCGGCACAGCAAGCGTCGTCGCCAGTGCCAGTGGCAGCAATACCGCCAGTAGGCGCCTCAAGTGCACCCAACAGGAGCGCGAACAGCGGCGCAGCCTTCGCCGGAGTACACTGAATGCCACCATGCCCAGTGGCAGCAGCGGCGGCGGCGGCGCCAATATACCCTCGTCACCGTTTAGCAAATCAACGCGTCGGCAATCGTCGTGCAATGGTGCGGGTGCCATCTCTGCTCGGCCACCGCCTTCGCCTAAAAAGCTCAACATAGTCGTACCCACATTGGCCATTGGGACACGGGCCTACACGGCGGCCATGGCCGCAACAGATGTGCAGCTGAACAAACGCTGGTCCCTGCGCAGCAGTCGCCAGCAGCAGGTGGCCAAAGGAGCGTCAACTGGGACGGGGAGCAGCAACGGCAACAGCAACAGTAGCAGCATTGCCATTACCAATCATAGGATGATGATGAGAGCCATCAGCTGCTACAGTGTGCGCAATCGTGGAGGACATCAGGAGCAAGGACCAGGAGCCGCCACAACGCAACAGCAGCAGCAGCAGGCGACAACACGCAGGCGCTGATCGGGTGAAATTCAATCGAATCGGGGCACACAGCGGGAGCAATTCCAAGTACAAATCCCAAGCAACGGACAAACTTTGATAAGGAGAAGGAGCAGGCGCAGAAGGGAGATGCAACACACACACACACACAGACAGACAGCGTATATATATATTTTTCATTTCATTGTTTTATTTTGATAAATGCCAAATAGCTGCCTAAATTCGTATCATAAAACCGCAAGGCATCCCACCAGCACCCAAAGTCCCCTCTCTCTCCCCCCAACCACAGCATGTATCAGTGTCGTTTTTGTTGTAAATACATTCACTCACACACACACACGAGAGATATATATATATATATAAATATATATTATATTATATTCATTATACAGAGTGCATATATTATATTTTAGGTATAAAATAAATTCATCATGTAAACCAATCCCCGATAAATTAATGATATACCCACATACATGTATCGTAACTATATAAATTTAATTACACATCACATTAGTACACCTCTTGTTCTTTTTTTTTTGCACTATTGTATTTATTTCATAATTTAATCTTAAGCCTAAAACCAATTGTAGTAATTAAGTTCTCTCGTCATTGGGCGTAAAATTAACAGTGAACAGATGCTAATAATTGTAATTGTAATTCTTAAACATAATTTTTTTTTTTTTACTCTCTCTGATTTGTGCGATGCCATCTCTTGACGATGGTCCTCGTTTTAATTAGAATATATTATATATTTATTTCATGTCTCGTCGTGGTCGCTCATCTAGGACTATCTTATGAAATACATTGATATTTTTACATAATTAAATGGGACTATTTTATTTTACCATGCAACAAAATGTTCGATGGGAGCGTCCTCGTAACGCATACTTGTGTTAGGCACTTTTCATATTTAAATGCAGAAAATCTAGCGCCGTAACAAACAAAAAAATATGTGGTAGAATTGCAGCTGTGTTGCTAACGACAGGGCTGGCGCAAAAACAAAAACAAGAAAAAACCGTTTTTCAACAATAATTTCATAATCTTTATGGTATGGTAGGCATTTTTGAATTGTTTTCACCTGTTATAACAGAGCGGGGTTACGTTTTTTGCTCGGTATATTTACGGTTATTTTAGTGTTTGTGGGCTCATACTTGCAGTGAAAAAATGAGTTAGGAGAAGGTCATTTTTCAATTGTCAGTACTCCCTTTTTTCATAGACATTTCTTAACGGGAAATTTGAAAACGCAGTTTTAAAAACTCAAAGAATCTCAATTAATGTAAAGGAAAGAGAAAATGTTCTTAATTCCTTCATAGCATCTGGTACCAAGTACGGCAACTAACGAGATTCTTAAATTTTGTTGTATACTTGGTAGGTTGTAGACTATTGTCTCTACTTTTAAACTTATCTCGGCCAATGTTGAATGGTTAAAAATCAGTGAAAAATTTTTTTTGGAATAATTAAAGAAAATAGGGTTTTAATAAATAAATAAATAAATAATAAATTTAATAAATACTCAGGTGGCAATCGTGTAGTTACCGTGTAGTTACTATGTACAGAAGGGACATTTTTGGTGGCTAAAGAAGGCCTAAACAAAGAGTTTAAACAATTTTTTATAAAAAAGAAACGATAAAAATAACCTTTAAAGTGAGCAAATCGCCTAGAAGATTGATCTATAAATCCGATTAAACTATACAGCCAGTGTTAAAAGTCCTTCATATCCTGTAATATGAAACAGAAAATAAAAATTGCGGAATGTGGTCTTCATCCGTATATTTACGGTATATTTTGACCATGAGATGGTATATTTGGCCACATTTTTTTAGGGTCTCATGGTATAATGTATCGATAAATCCGCGGTCACACTAAACTTCAAGTCCAGTTGCTTTCAATTTCTTTTAATACTTTTTTTCTCTCTCTAAAAATGCGATTCGCAAAATGCCGCAGAAATTCTAGCAACAACAGCACAGGAAAACCGAAAGCGGTGTGAATTTTTTTTCGAGCCCATTTCCAAAGTTGCGCTTGCCGTGTGCGCCGTGCGTGTGTGTGTGGAACGGATAGTGGATAGTTGTTGGCGGAGTGTGGAATGACGAAGGGTTGTGGAGTGGAGCGGAGTGGAAAGTAAAAGTGGCTGCGGTGGCGGTGTCTGTGCCTGTGCTAGATAACTGTGTGTGTGCGCGCGCGAATGTTTGTGTGCTGTGCCAAAAAGAAGTTGCAGAAATATCAGAGTTACGCAAAAACAACTACATCACTGCCGCAGAAGATATTGTGTAAAATAATTAAATAGCAAATACATTGCCAAGTGAGTGCGATTGATTGAGTGAGAGTGCAGTGAATAGCCCTAGTCTCAGTCCCAGTCCCATTACAGTGAGTGACAGGCAGAGTGTGTGGTGTGTGGCAGAAGAGTCAGCGACGGCAAGGCTAGTGGAGAGGCGAGGCGAGGCGGAAGAGGCGACCCGGCGCAATGAGCATTATTGGCGAGAATAACGGCAGCAGCAGCATCCCCCCCAACACCGCTACAGCCACCGTCATAGCCACGGCCAATGGGCCGCGCGTCGTTACCATTTACAAGACGGAAACTGGCTTCGGTTTCAATGTACGCGGTCAGGTGTCCGAGGGCGGACAATTGCGCTCCATCAATGGTGAACTGTACGCTCCCCTGCAGCATGTCAGCGCTGTTCTCGAGAATGGAGCGGCCGAGAAGGCTGGCATCAAGAAGGGTGATCGCATACTGGAGGTGTAAGTATTACAACTGTTTGTGCGTGTGTGTGTGTGTAAGCGTGTAAGTTCCCATTCCCGTGCCCGCTAGGCGGTTGGAATGGCCTGTTCTTGGCCTGCCATTCCACTCTAGCTTGGAGCACTGCTTGAATGGGGAGTTGTTAAGTAGAAGAGCGATAGAGAGAGCGAGAGAGTCAGCACACGCTCCCTGGGAATATCAATAAACGTTTGTGTGTGTATGTGTGTTGTTTTTGGGTGGGTTGTCCGTCCACCCATATAAAATAAGAGGGTTGTTACTGAACTTTCCCATGTGCCCGTTGTCTGCAGGCCTTAGCTCTATGGCATTCTTATTCATCGGCAGATTCATATTTGTTTGAAGGGGTACCGGTATCCCCCTTTCGTGCTCAGCCCTAGCTAAGGCGCTGCCGGAATTTAAGCTCATTGAGCAGTGGCCCTGGATTTTGAATGGCCCCAGGCACCTTCCTATCTATATTACTTCTTCTCTGCATCGCTTTCTTTTGTGGGTGTGTGTGTGTGTGGGGGGGGGGGGGTGTATGTGGGCTTCCTTCAATGGCATAACATTATGCCATACAAAAACAAACACAAAAGCACACATACAAAAGCTAATTAAAATATTCGCTCATAGCATTTGGAATGTTCTCTCTTTCACTTGCTCTCTCTCCCTCGCCCCCTTTTTGTCTTGCATCTTTGACATTTTGTATTGTTCGCTCTGATATTCGTTATCAGCAGATGACGTTTCATTCTACTCTCATTCTATCAATCATTTAATTATATTGTATATTTCGTGGTGCGGGTGGGTTTTCGTTGTCGTTGTTATTGTGCTCTGTCCACTGTCCATAGTTCTTCTTCTCCTCTTTGCCCCCGTTTCGACACGAAATTCAATTAATAAATTTACAAAAGTCTCGTTACACGTTCGCGCAAGCAACAACTTAATTATCATCAGCACCTCCAGCACACTGTCCACCGCCTTGCCATGCCCCAGCGCTCCTTCCACTTCCACTCCCACTCTCAATCCCACTCCCCCAACTACGCCCCCTCAATCCACACGCGCTGAAAACTTGCAAATTTTCCACATTTTTCACACATATTCCCCATTGCAAAAAAAAAAAAAAGAGAATGTGTGTAGGAGCGGGGGGAGGCGACACATAGGGAGAGACAGCATGGTGTGTGGCTGGGTAAAGGGAGGGGCGAGGAGGCAGGGACAACTGAATGCGAGAGAGCCGGCGTCCTCCTCGACGGCATCGTCGTTGTCTATTGTGAGCTGTTATTGTGGGGTGGTGGCTTGTTGTTGCTATTTGCAGTGCTTCATCATTTCATTATCAGCAACAAAAACAACAATAACAATAAGAACAGCAGCGGGGAATGAGCAAGAGGAGGAGAAATAGCTGCCGTTATAATTTGGCTGCGCGTGAGCTAACAAAGCGAACGGTAGAGGGCGCACAACGCAAACAATAACAGCAAAAGCAACAGCAACAAAAAAGCAAACAAGAATGAAAGGACCGAAGCGAAGCTTTTGATACCCTCCCTGATTGATCGCTCCAATGACAGGTCTTAATTAGGAAACATATGAATTGGTATAATCAATGGCAGTGTTTTGTTGATTTAATAATAAACAGAGTCGAAATAAACATATGTACAGACATGCATATGTACATATATACCCTCTGCTACCTTTCTGCGTGCAAAATCAGAACATTCTATCACTCACTCTCTGTCGTCTTGAAAGGGTATATAAAGTAAACGATAACAAATTTTGAAATTCATCGCGTTGGATGCCTGGAATGGCGATGCTTGAAATATTTGTTAACGCCTTGGGTACGTCACGGTACTCCTGCTCCTGCTTAAAGTTTATCCACAATTTCGCTCTAAACGTGGGCCAAGGCAAAACCTTATCCTTATACCTTATATAACCTTATATTAATGTAAGTTATTTCGGTCCCTTGCATGGCAGACATGCGTCTCGTTTGTTAATCTTTGTGTGGGGCGTTCTCTCCACTCTCTCTCTCTCTCTCTCTCTTTCTCTATTTCTCTTTACAAACATCCGCCCCCGTTCTGTCAGGCTACAGTAGCTTGTGGCCCGTGAGTTACTAATCAGCACAAACAACCGCCTTCCGTCTCTTCATACAAATGTACAAGCACTCTGTCTGATTCTACATATTTTTCATAATTTATTGCATAAAATAATTGTAAATCAAGTGCAATCAATGTGCCGTATGTCAGAGCTTCCTGGACCACAAATATTTGACCAAAGACCACCAATCCCGTTGATCATCCATCAGGGGCGTACGCTCTGCGGCCCACAGGGTGGGAGAGGCGTTGCACAGGCTGCCGTTGCAGCGAACACAGTATGGATCGTTGGCACTGCACTCGGGCACCTCGCCGGCACATCCGCGCACTGTGTAGACCAGATCCAGACGGCTGATGACCGTGCTCACGCACAGCTCCACCGGATCCGTGCAATTGCTGACCGTCATTGCCTCCGGATTGGTCATGGCCGCACAATCCTCATCATTTTCCTGAGAGTTGCAGCGGTAGCAGCTGCGGACGGACCAGCGATTGCATCCATCGCTGTTACGGCAAAATTGGCAGCTCTCGCCGCCACTGTCCGCGGGGGAGAAGTTGGCATCGGCGCATCCACGTCGAAGGACAGTATCTACCGTTGAAGGAGGGGCAACAGAGACAAAAAGCGAGAGAGATGCAGATACAGTTGTGATGCAACAAATTTTAGTCGTATATTTCGGAATACATGAATCCCAGACCGATCCCCCACTCACCCTAACCTTGCTCGCAGGAATAGCAGGCCACGGTGCCATCGGCGCACTTCTCCGTTGGTAGATTGCGGCCGGAGCGACAGCCCGGATTACTGGTGGAGTTGCAAACGGCGCAGACAATGTCCCGACACTGGCCGTTGCAGAAGTCGCCGGAGCACTGGCTCAGCTCTCCGGTGGGAAAGAAGCCCATCGTGGTGGAGCAGCCGCGCTGCAGCACCTCTGTCTGGGTGTTGAGGTGCGTGTAGCAGCCCTCACGGTGGCCGTACATCACCTTGTTGGTGCACTGCGTCACCGTTTCATTGCTGACGGAGCACTGCTGTGGCTCTTGTCCAGCCGCGGGCGCCTGCTGCTGGCGCAGACAGTCAGGATTGGGCGACATACGCTGGTGGGTGCACTGGAGGCAGCGGCTCTCGGTGACGGTGCGCTCCGCGTTGCAGCCATTGTAGTTGCACTTGAGGCAGACGTGCGGACAGGTGGCGGGCAGATTGGTGTGCTCGCAGCCGCGTTGCGTGTTGGACAGGTGGATGACGTTGGTATAGCAGCGATCACCCTCCCAGTAGAAAGGACAGGGAAGCAGCAGATGCGGCTTGGCCGTCACATCGATGCAGTCCGATCCGGTGCACTGGTAGCAGCGCAGCCGATCCGTGGGAAACACGTGGCGGTTGCAGAGGCTCGTGTTGCAGCGGTCGCAGGGCTCCGGACAGTAGCCGTTCGGATGGAGGCGCGCCAGGCAGCCACGACGCGTCAGACCTGCCGTGATCGAGGTAACGCACTCGTCGCCTGCTGCCGCGCACTCTTCCACCTCCAGCTGCTGGCCCGGCCTTGTGGCGCACTCCGAGTCCTCGGCCGAGTCGCAGGTGTAGCACTCCAGGGCCTGGGTTGCGCCCAGCACCAGAGTCAGTGTAGCGAATGCGACCAGCAGCAGCCGGAGGAGCACTTGCCTCTTCTCAATCCACTTGTTTGCCATCGTCTGTCTGATGGCGCTCGTTCAGCGACATCAACTCCGTGACTAGATTGGCGGACAAAGAACCGCTGCGATTTCAACTGCACCTCGATAAGATTAGGGCACTCAAGTGGTGCCAGGTTCCAGGTTCCAGGGCTAGAAGTGGCGGAGGCATCGCAAAGCGATTTTCACGGATAAGACACTGAACAGGGGGATACGTTTGAGGTTTTGATAAGCAAACTGCAAAGTGATGCACTCTGGGCAGTGCTTTAGTGCGTAGACAAAGACATGTCCAAAGGAGAGGTTATGTTTATGGTTAAAACTCAACATAATTCAGTCTCGTTGATAGGGGTAATCGATCACAGTACCACATAGGCAACCTTAGGGCATAACCAATGATTATATCTCACGATAAAACATGGCCGAAAATGATTTCAAATGAATATTTATAGTCGCTCATTTAACGAGCCAAATTGGAAAACTTAAAATACTGGAGAGAGATGAGACGAGACGAAGAGATGCCACGCAAAAAGCTCTTGAACAAATAGTTCTTCCATTTGTTTTCCCCAACGACGTCCTTTCAAGACGTTGGCTTCCCCATTCATGGCTCTGAATGGCAGCTACAGCATAATGGATGACCTAAAGAGAACCCAAGAATGATTTCAATTTTTCCATCTGCATCTTTTGTACTCGGTGCCATCGTGCACTTGCCTACCATCCATCCAACCACCCAAGTTCCACCGTCTTCTCGACCAGCTGGAGCCTCCCTTACCTTGACTGCTGGCTGCCTGTGCTGCGCTGTGCCATACCCCTACCTGCCTCCCTGGGGCCACTTAACGTTATACTTGGGGAGGTTGAAGGGGGCTGCTGTTGGGGTTTGGGCTGTGGGTTGGGTTGCTACGATTCAATCAATGGGGATTATGAACTATTTTCAGTTTGCGTTTCATTTGCGTTTCCACTTTCTTTGCCGTGGGTTCTGATGCGTTCCGGACGACACAGAACATCCATCTCAGCATGGATCTGCATACCTTTGTACAATCGAATATGTCTATATTTAAATCAGAAGCATCACAGCATGCATAAACTTCTGTCGTCCTGCTGTTATGGCATTCTGTAAGCTGAAATTTGATTGAATACGAGAGAAATTCCTTTGTCCTTTCCATTGTTCAGGTGCGTGTGTATTGGGCTTGCAAGTTCCTTTGGTTATGATTTATGATCTTAAAACAATGCAATCCTTGCAATCCGGAAGTTAATTGAATTACACCTGTGTGTGTGTGTGTGGGATTGTGGCACCAACAACAGAGCGCAACACAAACACTCCCAAGAGATGAGTGTAGTCGCCTCGACTTGGCTCGTAGCAATCCATTTGTGGGTTCCATTCGTTCCTGCTTTGCTTTGCTTTGCTTTGTTTTCCCTTCAATGCTGCCCACGAATTTGTGTGTTGTGGTTGAGTTGTGTGTCAATGTTGCTGGCTGCTGTTGCTGGTGGTTTTGTGGCATATGCCCCAACAATAATCAATAGGTTTGCGTCACTGGATGGCTGGCTGGCTGGCTGGCTGGATGGTTGGGCAGCGCGTTTGTTGTTGCTGCTGTTTTCCTGGCCCACATTTCGACATTTCACAGCCCCGGAACACACACACATACGTACATACCTCCCTCCCTGTGGCTCTGTGAGTTCGGTGACGGTTTCAAGTTCTGGTTTCGCTTTTGGGTTTCGTTTTGTTTCGTTCCGGCTAAGCCAGAAATAAACAGAATTGTAGCATGGGAATGGTAATGATAATGGCACAAGGTCTAGGGTATATAGCATAGGAAAGACAACATCAAACAGAAACTGGAAACCAAGCACAGGGACAGAGGAGTCTGTCCCCTAGGGGGGAAGTGCGGGGGGTTGTTTGAACACAAATTTTCACCTGCCATCCACAATTTTATTCCTATTTTACTGCAATTGAGAAATTGCTTACATTTTCTTGGGCACTAGAAATAAATCATTGTGTAAACATTGAAACGAGGAGTACGTACTATTAGCTATTTATTCGGAGTGCTGGTGGGTTGCAAATATCTTGCAAATATTTATTCGATTTGCTCAACTTAAACAATTAAATTTGCTCTGCCATGGGCCCATCCCATCTGCCCCACCACAACAATAACTATGTACTAGGGGCACAAGAAACATATGTATAGTGGGGGTAAACATGTGTGCAAATTGAATATATTGTAGAAAATCCAATTTGCATTTTCCTCGTGCTACTTTGAGACTTTCCCAACGCGGGGGTGTACCCTAAGATGTATATATTAGATGAGTATATTAGATACTGTAAGGGTAGAGGTCTTCAGGGTTAAGTCGGTTAATTGAAATTATAATTAAAATCTGCACAGGATCAGCACAGATATGGAGCGGATATCGACATATTTAATCAATATTTGTTCTTTGATTTCACCCCTGATTCAATCCTGTTGCTTCCCTTCGCTGATGCGAAGTGTGTGTTTGTGTACACCTATGGAAATCCAATAGCACTAATTACACTGGCGGTTGTCCAGATGTTCCTTCGCATGACATTCCAGGGTCTTCTTCAGTGTGCAGAAATCACGCAGTGAACCTTTCTGTGGAGTGTTCTAGAACCAAAGTTTGCCATGGCAGAGAGTAAATGAGTGAGAGAGCTACATAGTTTAGGGTGAAGCTCTGTTCCTGCTTCAGTGTGCTTTCCAATCCTCTCACTCCCTCCTCATACACACACACACGCACGCATTGAATGCCAACATAAAGCCCACTAACAAATGCAGCAAACAAATACCATAAATTAATTATAATTAAATAAATGGAAAACATTTCTTTGTGCCGGCATTTTGCACAAACAAAATTAAGTGGAGGAGGAAAAAAGCATTTTGCATTTAACAATAACTATAAATATTCCAACACATAGTAAAAGTACGTGTGTACACACGCACACATAAACACACCTTTGTACAGGGTATGCGAACGGTAAGGTAAAACAGTCTGCGAAAGCTGTCTCTGATTTTTAACATAACGTGTTTCAGTTTCATTTGTATCTAGAAAGAGAGTAAGGAGAGAAAGAGAGAGATACTGACGAAGATACATTATGCCATCCGTAATGCGGGGTTGCCTTGCCTAGTATTAGCATACCTTGCCTTTGTCTAGCTTTTTGAAGGGGGGGGGGTGGGGATAACAGGAGGTAAACTGGTTTCCCCTACCTTCCACTGTGCGTATGTGTGTGTGTGTTTGTGCTGGCCTCCGACTTCGTCTCAATTTCAGTCTTTGCTTGTGACCTGTCTCTTGCGCTCCTTGCCGCCTCCCTCTGCTTCGCTCTGCTTTTTTGTTTCCTGCATATTATGCTATGGGCATGTCTTGTTTCTCGTGTCTCTTGTTCCCATGTCTCCCTCTGTCGCTATGTGAGTCATGCTGAGTGCGTCAGACAACAGATAACTGTGCTGCGATTTTGTATACCCTTCAAGAGAGAGAGAGTGAGAAAGAAAGTGGATATTATGAATTTGAGCACATATTGGCCACACACTGACACGGGAGGAAGCTTGTAAAAGAAAACGTCCTACTTAAATCGGATTGAATGTGTTTGAAAGTTGTTGTAGGAAACACAATCAAATATATAAACAATGCAGATATGTAAGTGTTCTTGTCCGTTTACTTGAATTACCTTCAGGGTATAAAAAGCTTCGACTAGGCCACACACACACTCAGCAAATGGCAGCAGCTTTCCTCTCTCTTGTTTACTTATTTATTTATCTGTGCTGCTGCTCGACGGCAAATTGCAAACCGGAAAGACGCGGCGGCAGAAGACTCCTCTCAGGATGAGCAGAACTCCTCTCGCTCAGGAATTGAGTGAGCGAGATGGAGAGAGGAAGAGAGAGTGAGTGAGCGAGTGCTGTCTTAGCGGGTGCCGGGTGCTGGGTGCCTTATTCGGTGTGCTGCGACGACGACTGTTGACATTTTCTCTCTGATTAAGAGCCATCTCCAGTTTGCCACGCCATTCGGCCTCAATCATGGCAGGCATTTCATTTGACGGAATCAAGTGGTGTTCGGCGGAGCGGAGGGGGCAGGTTCATCTCTTGTTGATTGATTGCAGTTGCATTGCCATTGTCCCGCCCATTACCCAACATTTTCCATTCATTCCATTTGATAACGTATTTACCAGGGAATGACAGTACTTTCCTTTTTGAGCTTAATCCCTGGTCTATCCCATGGAGGGGAAACACCTGCGCGTACCCTCTCTTGGGCCACTACCAACCTTCAAGTTCAATGGGTGCTCTCGCTCCTAGATACGGCCTGCCACTCGACGTAACAGCAACTTGACCCGAATCGACTATCTCCAGTCGCCTTATCAGCGCTCCACTGATGTCAATGCATCCATTAGGTTCCACCACCCCGCCCCACTCTTCTCAATCTCGATCACTCCGTTCTCTGGGTTTTCTTTAAATTGATCTGCTGGCTATGGCTTTGCAGGCACTTTGCTTGTGGCAATTCAACAGCGCTTACGCTCCAGACCATCGCTCCATCGTTCCATTGCTCCATCGCTCCTCCTAGTATTCAAATGCTACCCTTCCACTGCGTTCAGTTTGCCCAATTGAGTGCCTTAGAGAGGCGCTGCCAGCGGTGTGTGTGTGGCAGGGATCCGAATCCCTAGATACCTCTTCGATTTCCAATGGCAACTAATATTCAACTCTATGATTTTGTTTTGTTTACAGCAACGGCGTCAGCGTGGAGGGAGCCACACACAAACAGGTCGTGGACCTGATCAAGTCCGGCGGCGACTGCCTGACCCTCACAGTGATATCAGTGACACAGCAGGTGAGTCCACTCGTCTGCTCCTGCACAGAGAGGGCACCACTAATACCCATTTTGAATTATGCGCAGGAGGCCGATCGACTGGAGCCGCAGGAGGACCAGAGTGGCTACTCCTACATTGATTACTCGGACAAACGCTCGCTGCCGATCAGGTGAGTAATCAGCAATGCGATCTTAACACAGAGATACCTAAGACGGATATTTTTTTCCTGTTTGCAGCATACCCGACTATG